TAGCCTGGTCCCCTTGGTGTATAAAAGGGGAAACTGAGGCCCAGAGAGGGGAAAGGAGTAGCATATAACAATGCAGACTCAGGGACTGGTAACCTGTCCCCGTTCCCTCGTTGTGACATGACTAAGGGCGAATAGCTCCGTGCCTTCTTAAAACAGAAATCAGCGCCTTGCTTTAAGAAAATGCCATATACAGAAATGTATTATTCAGAAACACAAAGAGTCTGATTAGGGTGAAGTAATTCACACTGCAGAAGTTTTCTTCTCTTTACAAAAGTTTTGTCACAGGGTCCTTCCAATGACAAGCTTTCCTCACGAGATTTAAACAGGGTTTTGGTTTGCAAAACTTAGTTTTCAGATACGAGTATATTTATTTCATAAGAGCTCAGCTGCTAACCAAAAAGGTTAGCAGTTCGAATCCACCAGCTGCTCCTTGGAAACCCTGTGGGGTAGCTCTACTCTGTCCTACAGGGTCGCTATGAGTCAGAATCGACTCGATGACAGTAGGTTTGGGTTGTTTTTTTTTTTTTTTTGTGGGGGGGACATGTTGAATGACAAAATAGCTCCAGAAGAGTTTGCATTATTGTTTATGATGATGGATTCCTAAGGGTTTAGGGGAAGGGGTGTTAACAAAGCCTTAATTTGGGAGGTTGATGGTATGAGAGCCCCAGATCCATCTCATGGGGCTCGGATGGGGTCAGGGTAGGATGAGCTACGTAATTTGTGGGGCCCAGTGTAAAATAAAAAGTCCACTTGTTCAAAAATCATTAAGAATTTCAAGATGGCAACCAAGACCCAAACCTGTTGCCATTAAGTCGATTCCTACTCAAAGCAACCCTATAGGACAGAGTAGAACTGCCCTATAGGGTTTCCAAGGAGTGGCTGGTAGATTCAAACTGCCAACCTTTTGGTTAGCAGCTGAGCTCTTAACCACTGAGCCACGAGGACTTCAAGATGGCATCAGCAGACCATTAAACCAAATGTGGGCCCTTCTAAGGGTGGGGCCCTGGGCACAGGTGACAAACCCATGAAGCCACCCCAGGTCAGGGTGAGTGGGGGTGGATGGCTAGCCTGAAGATGAGGTGCACAGAGGTGAGAGGTGAGGCCAATAAGCCATGAATCTGTTTTATTTGGCTTTGAGATGCAAGGGACCATTACCTGCCAAATTTTATTTGGCTTAAGCTACTGATAAAATAAGTCATTCTGGAGATCACAGATCGTGAGGCAGTAGAGGTGAGCCAGAAGAACTATGTAATAGCTACAGTCAGAGACCAGGCTCTTTACTGTGGACTAGGCCTTGTGCAATTTATTTAATTTTCATAGAAATGTTAGTGTAATGTGACAGTGAAGAGTACCGACTATACTCCATAGACACATCCAGACTCCCTGAGGGACCAAATTACTGGGCTGAGGGCTGGGGACCATGGTCTTGGGGAACATCTAGCTCAATTGGCGTAACAAAGTTTATAAAGAAAATGTTCTACATTCTACTTTGATGAGTAGTGTCTGAGGTCTTAAAAGCTTGTAAGTGGCCATCTAAGGTACTGGTCTCACCCCGTCTGGTGCAAGGGAAAATGAAGGAAACTAAAGACACGAGGGAAAGATTAGTCCAAAGGACTAATAGACCACAGCCTCTACCAGACTGAGTCCCGCACCACTAGATGGTGCCCGGCTACCACCACCAACTGCTGTGACAGGGATCACAGTAGAGGGTCCTGGGCAGAGCTGGAGAAAAATGTAGAACAAAATTCTAACTCACAAAAAAAAAAAAAATAGACCAGACTTTACTGGTCTGACAGAGACTGGAGAAACCCCAACACCCCTATTACTCAGTAATGAAGTTACTCCTGAGGTGCACCCTCCAGCCAAAGATTAGACAGGCCCATAAAACAAAACGAGACTAAATGGGCATGCCAGCCCAGGGGCAAGGACAAGAAGGCAGGAGGGGACAGCACAGATGGTAATAGGGAACCCAAGGTCGAGAAGGGGAGAGTGTTGACATGTCGTAGGGTTGGCAACCAATGTCACACAACAATGTGTATATTAATTGCTTGATGAGAAACTAGTTTGCTCTGTAAACCTTCATCCAAATTACATTAAAAAAAAGAGTATAGGCTCTAGAGACAGGCACCTGGATTCAAATCTCACTGGCTGTGAAACCTTGGACAGATTGCTTACTCCCCATTCTGTGCCTCCGTTTCCTCATCTGTAAAACAAAGTAATAAGAGATACCTAAGTTGTAGGGTAGGGTTAAGAGTAAATTCATTAATCTATTTTAAACTCGTTGCCCAGTGCCTGGCGCATAGTACATGGTGAACACTGGCTGCCGTGATGCTGCTGCTGAAGTGACCACGCTGCGGTTAAATAGTCGTTACTGTCGTTGTTAGGTGCCATCAAGTCAGTTCCGACTTACAGCAACCGTGCGTACAACAGAAGGAAACACTGCCGCTGTGTCAGTTCATCTCGCTGAGGGTCTTCCTCTCTTGTGCTGACCCTCTTCTTTACCAAGCATGATGTCCTTCTCCAGAGACTGGTCCCTCCTGATAACACTTCCAAAGTATGTGAGACGAAGTCTCGCCATCCTCTCTTCTTAGGAGCATTCTGGCTGTACTTTTTTCAAGACAGATTTATTCATTCTTCTGGCAGTCCATGGTATAGTCAATACTCTTCCCCAACACCGTCATTCAAAGGCATCAATTCTTCTTTTGTCTTCCTTATTCATTGTCCAGCTTTTACATGCATATGATGTGATTGAAAATACCATGGCTTAGGTCAGGTGCACCTTAGTCCTCAAACTGACATCTTTGCTTTTCAACACTTTAAAGAGGGCTTTTGCAGCATATTTGCCCAGTGCAATACATAGTTTGATTTCATGACTGCAACTTCCATGGGTGTTGACTGTAGGTCCAAGTAAAATGAAATCTTTGACAATGTCAATATTTTCTCCACTTAACATGATGTTGCTTACTGGTCCAGTTGTGAGGATTTTTGTTTTCTTTCTGTTGAGGTGTAATTCATACTGAAGGCTGTAGTCTTTGATCTTCATCAGTAAGTGCTTCAAGTCCTCTTTGCTTTCAGCAAGCAAGGTTATGTCATCTGCATATTTGCAGGTTATTAATGACTCTTCCTCCAATCCTGATGCCCCATTCTTCTTCATATAGTCCAGCTTCTCAGATTATTTGCTCAGCATACAGATTGAATAATTATGGTGAAAGGATACAACTCTGACACACACTTTTCCTAATTTGAAACCATTCAGTATCCCTTTGTTCTGTTCGAACAACTGCCTCTTGATCTACGTACAGGTTCCTCATGAGCACAGTTAAGGGGTCTGTAATTCCCATTCTTCACAATGTTATCCATAATTTGTTATGATGCACACAATTGAATGCATTTGCATAGTCAATAAAACACAGGTAAACATCTTTCTGGTATTCTCTGCTTTCAACCTAGATCCATCTGACATTAGCAATGATATCCCTCGTTCCATGTCCTCTTCTGAATCTGCCTTGAATTTCTGGCAGTTTTCTGATGTACTTCTGCAGGTGCTTTTGAATTATCTTCAGAAAAATTTTACTTGCATGTGATATTAATGATATTGTTCGATAATTTCCACATTCTTTTGGATCTGTTAAAGAGTTCTGTGGGCAAAATACTAAACAAAGCAGGAAGCATCAAAAGAAGATGGAAGGAATACATAGAGTCACTTTACCAAAAAGAATTGGTCAACATTCAGCTGTCTCAGGAGGAAGCATATGATCAAGAACTGATGGTATTGAAGGAAGAAATCCAAGCTGCACTGAAGGCATTGGCGAAAAACAAGGCTCCAGGAATGACAAAATACCAGTTGAGATGTTTCAACCAACGGAAGCAGTGCTGGAGGTGCTCACTCATCTATGCCAAGAAATTTGGACGACAGCTACCTGGCCAACCAACTGGGAGAGATCCATATTTGTGCCCATTCCAAAGAAAGTGATCCAATAAAATGCAGAAATTATTGAACGCTTAGGTAGTAGGCTCCCCATTTTACAAAAGACAGAACAGTGACAGAGATTAGGGGAATTGCCCAAGGTCACCCAGCCCATGTAGAAGCTGTGCTCTTTCCTCTGTTACGATACCTCTTAGGGAAACTGTCTAGTTTGACCTAAAATCCTCAGGTGTAGGTAAATAACCAAACATGCATTGCTGATTCAAAGCCTATCCGTCCATCCAGCACACACTTGCTGAGTATCACCTCTGTGCTGGGCCCTCCTGGTGCTGAAGATGTTTAAAGATGAGAGCTGCAAGAGAGAGGGGACAGAGGGTGCAGTGATAGCTACTATCCCACTCTATGAGGGGGTGGGAGCACAGGGCCGGGGGGACTCGCTCCACCGGAAAACCTTGGAGAAGGCTCTGCCTGAGGCAGTGTTCTTGTCTGGGCTTTAGAGAACAGAAGGCAAGGATGGAGGGGCTTACCAGCCCTGATGTGGGCAATGTGGAGTCCCTGGGTGGTGCAAGCTGTTAATGCGCTTGACTGCTAACCCTAAAGGTTGAAAGTTTGAGTCCACAAGAGGCACCCTCCAAAGAAAGTCCTGGTGATCTACTTCTGAAAAATCAGCCATTGAAAACCCTGTGGAGCACAGTTCTACTCTGATACACATGGGGTCACCATGAGTCATAGTTGACTCAACGGCAACTAGTGCTGGTGTGCAGTGTGGATAACTGAGTGGTGAAAGTTGTGAACTAAATTCCTTCCACCTCAGCATCGCAGGCAGTTGGTATCAAGAGGTGGGTGATACCACAAAAGTACAGTGAGTGACTGAGAAGAGACAGGGCCACAAATAAATCTGGAGAGTCACATCTTTTTTCAAATGCAGGTGGGAGGAGAGGTGGGTGTGAGGGCCACACAGCGTGAGTTTGGGGCTGCAAAGGCTTCCCTGCATGTGGAACTCAGGCGATTCCTTGCTGGCCCTCACCTTTGACCTCACTTAATCACTGCTACTTTCCTGCTCTTATCTCCCCAGGGTCAGTGGACTTTCCCCCTTCATGGGTGACAATGATAATGAAACCTTAGCCAACGTTACCTCAGCCACCTGGGACTTCGATGATGAGGCGTTTGACGAGATCTCCGATGATGCCAAGGATTTTATCAGCAATTTGCTGAAGAAAGATATGAAGTAATGAGTTGAGCTTTCAGTCCTTTCAGCTTCCCCACTCCCTGGACTGGTGTCAGGAGGCAAGGATTTTCCTTGTCTGTTGTGGCTTCCCTCCTCCTGAGGAGGGGAGGGCGGGCATTAAGAGAGAGCAAGCCAAGTGTGTGTGGGGGAGGGGAGGGCGTCTTCCTAGGCCTCAGTTCCCTGACTAGACACCATACTAGTCTTTCAAGGCGTAAATCCTCACGGAGCACAAAAGCCACACTTGACCGAGAACTGCAGCTTGTTCTATATGAGTAACACCTATTGTTTTATGTGTATGATTACGGCTTGTAGAAGCCCTACCTCTTCAGGGACCCTGGGGTGGGGGTGGGGGGATAGTGAAGGAAATAGCCCCTCAAAAAGCAGAGGCTTCGTTAGAACCCATCCATGGGTCCCGATGATCCCCCAGATTATCTGGCTTGGTGTTTCCTCATATTGAAATTATTGAAGAACTGCCTACCTGAGTATGGCCAGAGCTAGGCTGTGATCCCAGGCCACTGGGTTCAGCCCTCCCCCCCACTCTGTCTCTGTGCCCCTATAACATTGCAGACTGTGAGATTACCCACCTCTGCCTTCTGGGGCTGCCTGGAGCTGCCCACGTGGTCAGAGGATGAATATAGAAAACGTTTGTGACCTGTGGTAGGCAGTGTGTTCAGGTATGCAGTTGGCCTGAGAGCGTGCGCAGAGGTCAGACACACAAGGCACTTGGTGTGAGGGAGTAGGGGCATGGGGCTGTAGAGGGAGACTTGAGTGGAGGAAGAGATTTGAGGTGAACCCTCGGTGTTGCTAGACAGAATGAACTGGTGAAGATTCTCCTGGTGCCAGAAACCTGTTAAATGAAAGCAAGAAGGTGAGAGGGGCTATGAGTACAGAGGGGGGAGGCTGGCATGCAGGGAGTAGTTGGGGGTGTCAGGTGAGGGTAGCTGGCCTGTCAGGCCCTTCATCCACTCTGTCAGTCAAGTGGCCAGATGAGGCAAGGCCTGGCCCCAGGGGCCCCAGGGGCCCCAGGGAGCTTGGAGTTGTATTTGGCAATCGGGAGCAACTGTAAGGTTTGTCCGAGGAGGGTGGTGTTGAAATAGGTGGTGTGCCAGAGGATGAGGGGGGAGGGACAGCCAAGACTCCAGGGGCAGGTGGAGGTTCTGCATTCAGCCCTGTGCCTGCAGCAGTGATTCTAGCCATGTCTACCTGACCCATAGACCCCACGGAGGCTGTCGGCAGGATTGCTCCCTTCGGAGAAATGCTATTTGGGACAGGAGAGCACAGTTGCTAAAGTAGCAATATCGGAGGTCTCTTAGGTGCTTCTGTCTAGCTTTCCAGTTACCCACCACCTCTCAGTCCTCTTTAGCCATCTCAGGGCCAGACTCCCCCGGAGACGGCTGCACTCCATACTCCTTGTCAGCGATACCCTTTAGTGTTTCTCCGTCACGGCCTTTGTATCAGAAGTAGGCATGACCCAGGGGGAAGCAAGATGTTGTGGGGGAGTCTAAGTTCCCTTCCAATCTGAGGGATCTCCCACTTCCAAGGTGCCTCAGAGAGATGGAGATCTCCCTGCTAATAACTCTGGTGTAAGGATGGCTTTTGTTAACCGAGCTTTGTTCACTGAGGATTTGGTAAACAAGATACCGTGTACACACCCTGTTTTCTTATCTGACCTTGACTTAATTCTTTAACAGGCTGTGTTGCTTCCCTCTGTGTTCATAAAATGGACCCACCAAAGAACTGACCTTTTTCAAATAGATTAAGACACTAGAGTCCCGTAAACTCTTGTATGCATCACCTCAGAAATCTCCATTTATCAGCACTTTTTGAAATATTTTTATATTATAAAAGTAATACATGTAAGTTGTAGAAAATTTGAAGAACATAGGAAAATTAAAATCACGAGAAATCCCTTTATCTAAAGATCACTACATTTTGTTATACTTCTTTCCCGTCATTTTTCTATGCGTGTTAACATTTGGTTCTTTGGGTTATGTTAGTCCTGGTACAGCTAAGGTTTATGACAATGACCCTGAAATATTTCTAGATTCCCAGAGCTTTCAGAAAGATTAAATTTGTTTCAATGCAGTTCTAAGGTTGTCATAATTCATGAGTTGTATGTAGGACATACTTCTTTGAGTTATAACAGGAAAAACCTGATATTCAACCACATAGTAAGACACAGAGTGAAATGATTCTTGGAGGTTTTGGCCCAATGTATCAGACAGGTAGGCAGAAAGATTAGGACACCAGAGCCCCCAGCCCCCACTGGGACCAGCTGAATGAGCCCACCCTGGATATGGTGCCAGCTGTCCCCTGACAAATCAGCCCTCCAGCACTTACCCTTCTTAGACCCCCGAGCACAGGTCCTGGGACACCAGTTGCTTCCTTGGTGGTTAGGCCTTCTGAACACGGGCCTACGCTGGGTCCAGTCAGTGTAACCCAGACCAAGAGAGGAGACAGCCAAGAGCACAGTGCCCCTGGTCATGGATGGACTGGGAGCTGGGAGCCCTGGGCTCTGCCCTGTGTGACTGCAGACAGGAGACCCCCCCATGTCTGATCTGAGGTCCCCTCCTGCTCAGAAATCCCCTGATCTCTGCCTTCACCAGAAACCGCCTGAACTGTACCCAGTGCCTTCAGCACCCATGGCTAATGAAAGACACCAAGAACATGGAGGCCAAGAAGCTCTCCAAGGACCGGATGAAGAAGTACATGGCAAGAAGGAAATGGCAGGTAATGCGGGGTCACCTCAGACTGGAGCATTCCCCTTCATATTTGCTAAATTCAAACCACCTTCATTCCCAACTTGCCCTGGCCTCCCTCCAGAAAAGTTTAAATTTATTTCTGAAATAGTCTGGCACCAATTTAGGCAGCTAATTAAGATGCAGTGTTGCATTCACTCCCCTTACTGGCCCCAGCATTGCTTGGGGGAAATGGGTTTCTTGGCTACACTGTCCCTCCAATCCTGCTTAGCTTTGTCCCGGGGGGACCAGTGAGGGGAGGCCTCAGCAGCCCGGCCTCGCCTGGCTTACGCCACTGACATTTCATATCTTCATGGTAGGACTGAGCAATGTCACCTTTAGGAGTATTTGACAAACCTGGAGAATGTGGTCTCCTTAAAGGTATTCTGATAGTCTTGCATTTCTTTATGATGAAAGAGGAGGCCACGTGATATAGAGAGAGAAACATGGGGAGTCCCTGGGTGGTGCAAATGCTTAATGCGCTCAGCTGCTAATCTAAAGGTTGGAGGTTCGAGTCCACCCAGAGGCACCTCAAAAGGAAGGCTGGTGATCTACTACCAACAAATCAGTTCTGGTTGTTTACCCTCTAAGGAGGTCATGTGTTACTAGCTACGTGTCCTTGGGTTAGTGACTTAACCTTGCTGTGCCTTCGTTTTCTCGTCTGAGAGTGGGGATAAGAGCGGTACCAGCTTCACCGTGTTGTTGTGAGAATTACATGAGCTGGTCTGCAAATGGCCGATAGCACAATGCCTGGTACACAGCAAGTGTTCAGAGATGATCATGGTAGCTAATCTGTATGGAGGGCTGACCGTGTGTCACGGATGATCCAAAGCACTTCCTAGCATTAACTCTTTTAATCCTGTGAGGCAGGTACTATTATTATCGCCTTTATAGACAAATGAAGGCAGAGAAGGGTTAGGAACCTTTCCCAGGATTATATAGCTAGTAAGTGGAAAAGCCAGGATTCAAACCCAGAGAACATGGCTCCAAAGCACATGGTCTTAACAACAACAGAAACTGCCTTTGATAACAAGACGGATAAAATTACCATCCAAAGCTGTAGAATAGTTGTCATCATCATCTGTTTTATGATTTTTATCATCATTATTGCCATTATGCAATTCCTGGGCTACAGGAGGGTACATGGTTCCTATACTCAAGGAATGTATAGTGTAATAAGAACTGAAGCAAATAGACATAAAAGGACAGAACACATACCAAGAATTGTAAACTGTCAGTATAGCTCTCCATAACCATATATGAGTGTGGACGGGAGAATGGAGCCAGTCACAACCAGAGTTGGATATCAGCATGAGGACATGCTCGCAGGGGAGGATTTTTTTTTTTAAATTGTGCTTTAAGTGAAAGTATACCATTCAAGTTAGTTTCTCATACAAAAATTTATACATACATTGTTTTGTGACCCTAGCTGCTCTCCCTATACTGTGACAGCGCACTCCTCCTTTCCACCCCAGATTTCCTGTGTCCATTCAACCAGCTCCTGACCCTCTCTGCCTTCTCATCTCACTCCAGACAGGAGCTGCCCATTTCGTCTCTTGTATCTACTTGGGCTAAGAAGCGCACTCTTCCCGAGTATTGTTTTATGTCTCATAGGGGAGGATTTTGAAGTTGCGTGTGGAACGTGGACTAGAACACAGAGAGATGGGGGTGACAGCATAGCAGGGGTCGAAGGCACAGAGCTGGGACTACACAGTCTGTATGCTGGCTTGACAGGAGCGGAGGCTTTGAGTTGGCAGAGAAAAGGGAGAACACTTAACAGGGGCAACAGGGTCTCTGGTAATTTGCCACACAAGGTGACTAAACCACGGTTCCCTTGAAAGGTCCAACTTTACGCAAAGGTTGGGCGAGGGAGCAAAGGCGGATGAGGTTCTACAGGTGTGGGTTTAAGAAACTGCCATCCTGTGCATGTCCTCATAGGTGGGTCCAGCAGAACTTCTCCACAGTGGGAGTTAGTTCTTGGTTAGCCCCCCATGTGAAGGTTTAGGTGGGTCTGCCTACCTCCCTCAAGTACAAGGTGCAAGTTGGAACACCTGCCCTGTTTACCCTCTGGTGCCATTAAAAAAAAAAAAAAAACCCGTTGCCATCAAGTTGGTTGCAATGCAGAGTAGAACTGCCCCACAGGGTTTCCAAGGAGCAGCTGGTGGATTCGAACTCCTGACCTTTTGGTTAGCAGCCAAGCTCTTAACCACTGTACTACTAGAGCTCCTCTGGCGACACTAGGATCCAGTAAAATCGGAGCAGCAAATACTCTCTTAAAAACAAAAAGGGGTCCACAAAAATCAAAGGTTGGCTTTATTATGATCCTGTGACCAATAGATCTCAAAAAAATAGCAGTATTTCTGGAGAGAATAGGGTGACTTGTGGGGGTGGGGCAGTCCGCAGAGCATGAATCTAATGGGATTTTGCGTGGGGGAGGCTGTAGGCTAAGGGGTAGTTTTCTTACCTCAGACTTTCTGGAAGTGTTGAAACATCTGCAGATGGACCGAAGCCAGGGTGACGCCTAACCCAGGGAAGAGGCACAGAGAAGAGATAAGGGAAGAGGAGGGGAGGCAAATGGAATTTTCCAGTCAGAGCAGTCAGGGAGCCATCCTCTGTGCTGATATTTTAATCTCTTAAATTTTCTTCGAATTGTTTACAATATTATTAACTATAGGGTTTTCTAGCAGCGGAGGGGAAAAGGGTAGAATTCAGAGAAGGAACCTTAATTTCATTTGTAAATGTAGATGGCAGAATTTGGAAATGACTTTTCCATTAAAACAGTGGTTCAGGTTTCCCAAAACTGCACCCAAAAGTAGTCCACAAAACCCCATTTAACGCACAATGTACCCAAAGCATAATTGCACTGGTAACAGTCCAGCTGCATCTGACCATCTTGTGTGACATTTGCTTCCTTAGGAAAATGTTTGCCACATTTTCACTCCATGCACCAGGGCCTTGGCTCCCTCTGCAATGGGGGGGGGGGAGCTCCCTCCTGGAGCAGTCAAGGTTGGGGGAGGGGGGATGAAGAGGAGCGGAGTAGGATGGAATGTCCTGGAGGGAGAGGGGCAGGGCAGGCACAGGTGGCCCGGTAACTCCCTGCAGCTGTACAAGAGAAGGTACCTTGTGATTGTTCTGGTGTGGTTTCCATAAAGGGCCCTAGGAGGAAAGAAGCAACACAGGAACAAAGCCCTACCAATAAGGCTGTGTATAAATGACTAATCATACTTTGACCTTAGAACGAACTGAAAAGGGACATATTTTTAATTTATATTAAAAGCATTTTAAAAAGGCATGGTGGTGAGGAATAGCAAGTGTGGATAGGGAAGCTGAACAGGATAATAGGGCTTCTGTGTGCAAACTGGAAGCAAAGGACTAAGACTTGGAGGCCGTTGGTGGCCATCTTTATTTTCTGGGTCGTTGTTGTTGTTAGGTGCCATCGAGTCGATTCTGACTGATACCGACCCTGTGTACAACAGAATGAAATACTGCGCGGTCCTGCGCCATCCTCACAATCCCTGTTATGCTTCAGCCCATCACTACAGCCACTGTGTCAGTCCATCTCATTGAGGGTCTTCCTCGTTTTTGCTGGCCCTCTACTTTACCAAGCAGGCTGTCCTTCCCCAGGGACTGATCCCTCCTGATAACATGTGCAAAGTATCTGAGACATAGTCTCGCCATCCTTGCTTCTAAGGAGCATAGAGAAGTAAGCATTTCACTCAGTATAGCACAAATGATTCTTCACCACCATATTTGGGTATTATGCACGTCTCGGGACTGTTGATATATACATGGGGCCTATGACAGCTGTCCATTTCCAGGGTGGCCAACTTGTCCCAGTTTGCAAGGGACTGTCCTGGTTTTGAAGCTCTAGTGGTGCAGTGGTTAAGAGCTATGGCTGCTAATCAAAAGCTTAGCATTCGAATCCACCAGGCTCTCCTTGGAAGCCCTATGGGGCAGTTCTACTCTGTCCTATAGGGTTGCTATGAGTAGGAATCGACTCGATGGCAACGGGTTTGGTTTTTTGGTTTTTTTTTTTTTTTTCTTTTTTCTTTTTTTGGTCCTGGTTTTAGCATTAAAAGACTCACATCCTGGGAAACACCGCAGTCCTGGCCAAACTGGGATCGTTGATCTTCCTAGCCAGCTCTCAGAGGAGACGGTGGGAGGCTGGTACAGATACTGCCCGCCTGGAACACAGGAACGCAACATTGGTGTTGCCCACAAGAAAGAGGCATTCTCAAAACAAGGACAGAAATGAGAGAATTGAAACTTTGCTTTTTTGGTATTCCAAAAATTTCCAAAGGTCTTAGTCAACAAAGGAGCAACCAGTTTTCAGCTCAAAGGCATGCAACTGGAAGACTAGAACATACAGATATATTTCTTTTTCATTTCCACCAAATAGCTTCCTTACCATGTCTTTTTCATAAATCAATTTCCAGAGATTGAATTCTGACTCAGATTATTTTAAAGAAGTTCTTTATTCATTGTTTCTTACATTTCTCCCTCATTCTGGTAACTTCATATTAGTCATTTCAGGAGGAAATAAGATGAAGAAAAGACATTGTCTCTCTGCACCACACAAATGAAGACACAGCCCCAGGCAGTCCCGATGTCTGGAATTAGAGAGCCCATGGGCGCCAGAGGGGTGTTTCCTGGTGCACATTTGTAGGACCACAGAAGACCAGAGCTGCAGGGAGCTCAGAATCTTCTAGTCTAGTCACCTCATTGTCAGTCAAGGATACTGAGGCTCAGAGAGGGTTGCTGACTTAAACACGGTCACATAGTACTCAGTGATTAGAGAACTAACCTGTCCCTTGTTAGGAATGGACCTTCTGAGTGCAGAGACTCCTGGCTCAGGGCAAGCTAACAAGTGTGGGATAGAGGGAATAGAGACCTGAGAAAGTCTAAGAACTTGGCTGATGAGGAAATAGTCTGGTCTGTTGCTGACTCCCTATGGAGGGCTGCTGTGGCCACCTCTTGCCTGAGGCCAAGGTGAGCTCCTATGGGAAGAGCTGGGTCTCCAGTAGCAGGCTCTCCCAGGATGGCAGGGAGAATCACCAAGTGCTCTGCAGGGCTGCAGCGACTCTGCCACACGTTTAGGCTGGTAGGTAGTCATCGCTTCACCTTCTTCCCCTCCTGACCAGCTCCACCTTCTGTTCAGAGTAACCGCATTCTCCCAGGCATCCCACTTCCCCATGGCAGCAGAGGGCCACAAGCATACCCACACCATGTAGGGGTGCGTGCGTGAGAGGGCAGGTGGCCAGAGAACAGAGCCGGATGGAATGCCTGTCCAAAATGCATGAAAATAGTCTGCAACAAGGAGGACAGGTGACATAACAGCAAAGTGATCAGGGGTCATCAATGGTAGGTCTCCACTTAAACCACCCACACAAACCTGTGCATGCACACACACAGACACACACAGACACACACAGACACACACATAATTTGAGATTAAACACCAAAAACCAGACCCGTTGCCGTTGAGTTGATTCCAACTCACAGCGACCCTATAGGACAGAGTAGAACTGCTCCATAGGGTTTCCAGGGAGCGGCTGGTAGATTCAAACTGCCAACCTTTTGGTTAGCAGCCGAGCTCTTAACTACTGCGCCACCAGGGCTCCAATTTGAGGTTAGAGGCCTGCTTTCCAGATAATCCAAAATTGTGAGGCTTTACTGAAATGCTGAAGTGTGTGAAGTTAATTCAGGAAGGAAGTGGCTTTGCCAGCACTGTTTGAGGTCCAACGAGAGTGAAAGACGCAAACTAGCCATGTGCCTGTGAAGAGGCAGTTTCCTTGCTGGCTCTCAGGAGGGCCAGCAGCCAGTCTGTGGTGGCCTCTGCCTTTGGGATGCACAGCATCTGGATGCCTGAAAGAATATGTTTCTGGGTGGCAGGGGGGAAGAACTTGGTCATGCCTTCATTTTCTTATCCCTGCCATTCCCAACAACTTTTTAAGAAGGATGAAGAACTTTGAGGATGAGAAACAGACACACCATTGTACATCACTGGGGATTTCTCTACCCAAATCCTATGCTCAGGAGAATTTTCACAGTGCAAAGAAATGACATATCGAGTTCTGGCACTGTCCTGAGAAATCCTGTCCTGTCCTCAGGTGCCTAGTCTCAGAAAAGCAAAGTGCTGTTGCATTTTATTTCCCTTTGGTGCTTCTTTCAGATGCCTGAGTGCATACCAGGCAAGGGCAGCCTCCGCAACCTCACTGTGCAGCCATAGGACTGTGCTGGGGCCAGCCAGAAAGTTTCTGGAAATCTCTTAAGTATCTGAATCATAAATATAACTAAATGGGACCTTGGAGATCATCTTGTCCAACCCCTTCCTTATGCAGAAAGGGAAACCGAAGCCCAGAGAGGTTGTGTGAGTTGCCGAAGGTCAATAGAATGCTTTCTTTCTTTCTTTCTTTCTTTTTTTTTTGCATCAGGACCTGTGGGATCTGTAGTAACTATTCTCTTGACCAATTAAAATCATCTCACTAGCATAGTTTTATGAGAAACAGCTTCACTGGGCCCGGTTAGCAATAAGTCTTTGGAGCTGTCTCAGCCTGCAGTTGCTTTATATAAACTATCCCTTTTATGGGAGTTGAAGCACAGTATGAAAAGAGTTTTTGTCTCATGTTGACCTTGTTTAGTCACATTAACGCACACATCAGTTCCAGGGCCCCATTCCATTCTCTGAACATCTTCTGACACGCTGATAGTGCTGAGCAGAGCAAGGTTGGGCTCACTTCTCTGGCAGGACCTCAGAACTCCGAAGCCCTCCTTCCAGGGAACAGAGCTGCTTCTCCCGGGCTGGGCTCTACTCCCCGGACCACCAGGCGCTGCCCAGCCAAACCCAGGGACACCTCCTGAGTCCAACCCCAGTGTCTATTTTCCAGAAAACGGGCAATGCTGTGAGAGCCATTGGAAGACTGTCCTCTATGGCTATGATCTCAGGGCTCAGTGGCAGGAAATCCTCAACAGGCTCACCAACCAGCCCGCTCAATGCAGAGAAACTAGAATCTGAAGGTAAGGCGCTCCAGGAGGATATTTCCAACCAGTTGGTGGGAAAAAAGAGTTGGGAGACGGAGGGGCATTTTGAGGGTTTTTTTTTTTTTTCTTTTAAATACAACCCCTAAGGGTAAATTCAGAACTACTTTTGGGTTGCCCTGACACTAAGTCTAGTAATTATTTTTAATTGTTTAATCTTAAGCTTAGGTATTTTCAGAGGATACATTATTTTTTGTCTAATAGGACTAGACCCCGGCGATTCTTTTGCCTATATTTTATATAAGAATTAACAAAGCTTTATTTTTTTTGACAAAGCTTTATTAAAAGAAAACCTTTTCTTTCCTCACTATTAAAGTTATGCTCGTATACTGATAGGCAAAAATAAAATAAAAATCACATATAATTGTGTAAATTTTTAAAAATATTTTTCCATTTTTTTCTGTCTTTGTGTTTTTGTTTCAAACAAAAATTAACTTGTATAATTCATATTCTTTTGGCATTTTTCACGATGGTGAAGCACGGGTAGACTGTGATTAGCAGGGCCCTTCCTGGAGACCAGTAGGGCTGGCGACTAGCCCACTGTCTTTCAGATGCTGCCCCATCCATCTCCTCAGCCAAGGCCTCAGCCTCTTCCCGCTTCAGGAGCACACAAGGCCTGACCCTTATCTCCCCTGAGGTTCCTCCTGAGGGCAGAGATCCCCCATGCTGCCTGGCGCTCTTGGTATCCACAGATGAGAAGCCTGAGTCTAGATCCCTTTTATGCTCAAAGGCACAAAAGAGGTTGCCAGGCTGCTGCGGAGCTTCCTTGTATCTGGGGACAGAGTCTGCAGCCCATGGGCCCGATCCATCTTACCTACTCCTGCTACTCCCCAGGTGTCCTAGCCATAGCAGAGTGGGGAAGGAGAGGTACAGGGGCCCCTCAGAGTCCCAGCTTTGCCCTGGGCGAGTCTCAAATCCTGGTCTGCAGTTATACAAAGTGAAGGCAGTGTAAGTGGTGGAGAGTAAGAAAACCACTGCAAGTTGAAAACCCTCTAGGGTCTGGTGACTCCCTTCCAAGGAACACGTTGACATGCCTATTGCAGGAAGAGGGCAAAGGGACGCCGAGACCAGGAAAGTGGGTTCTGGCCTTCCCAGATGCGCTCAACTGAAGCCTGAAATAGCATGAAATGCAGCCAAAAATCCTTTTTAAAGATTATTTCCTTTTTTAATGTGTCAGCATAAGGGAACGGGGGGAGGCCGAACACTTCCCCAGTTTGGACACAGTTCTTTCTTCTGCCAGAAACCATTTGGCAGCAGGCCTGCCTGTCCCCGGGAGAAAGGCATACTTATGATTCAGTTCTCTGAGCTGCATTATTTGCTAAATTATACCAACTTAAAAAAAAAAAAAAAAGCTGTCAAATTAAGGGAGAGGAGAGAACAAGGAATGAAGAAATGTCCTATTCCTCTTGCTTTTCTTCTAGAAGATGTCTCGCAAGCTTTCCTTGAGGCCGTTGCTGAGGAAAAGCCCCATGTAAAACCCTATTTCTCTAAGACCATCCGTGATTTAGAAGTTGTGGAGGGAAGCGCTGCTAGGTTTGACTGCAAGATTGAAGGTAAGTTGTAGCTCGTCTTCCCTTTACCACAAAAGGGGGTGGCAGGATGGTAGGTCACCTGCCACGTGCCCCAGGCAGGAGATCCGTTCTGGGCAGTCTAGAAGCTATTAGGAACAGCCAGGCTGTGAGGGGTCCTCACGCCCACTCCTCTGCCCCTGCCTCCTGACAAATGAGTGCTCGTCAGTGGTGTACACAGGGACACATTTGATATTTCACCAGCCACTGGGCCTAAATCAAAAAGGATTTGTCATGGGTCTAACTGGCTGTGGTCCACGGCAAATGAAATGAGCTTTGAAAGCTTCTGGGAACCACATGAAATGCCCACAAGAAGCTCTGAAAGGAAGGTTGGTACAAAAGGCATAGGATGTGGAGGCAGCCAGCACTGCCACTCGTCAGTGGGGCCGTATGGCCTTGGCCATGACCTAGCTCCTCTGAGTTTCAGGCCTCTCATCTATAAAGTGGTATCTAATGCACTGAGTTTCTGGGTGATTCTCTGAGACAACATATGTAAAGAGTGGAAACATTTTAAGTGTTTTAACGATGTCATGCAGTAAAGGAACAAGTTGTGAGGTTGATAAGTGTGAGTTCAGACTGAGGGTAGGTTGGAATCCAGGCGCCTAGGACAGACCTCTCGGTGGGCCAGCTCCCCGTGTTCTCCTCTGCCTGCTGGAAGAATGCAGCGTGGAGTGATGAGTTGTTTGAGCTCCAGGGACCTGCACAGATCTTAGTGTGACACCTGAAAAATTAACAATATTGGTGATGCAAAGTATTTCAGTTTCCCCAGACTGCAACATTCTAGAAAGATATGGGGCAAGTGCAGACAGGCCTCTTTGCTTCAAGGCTGTATCATTTGCCAACCAGAGCGAAGGATTGCCTCCCATTTTGGTCTGACCAAATAAAGCACAGAAGTTTATTAAGCAACTTTCCCAAGGCCACATAGCACAGTACAGCAGAGTCAAAATAAATGATGTCTGCTACTTTTTAAGATTCTCCAGCAGTGTGACTGTATCCTGCCTTTTGTGTAAAATAACCCAAAGTTAGGAATGAAAAAACAAGTTTTCTCCGGCATCCTTTATATTATCAAAATGCCTTGTAAATCCTTTGCCTACCATAATCTTTCTCTTTTTTCATTCAACTAAAAAAAAATAAAGTGGAAGGAGTCCCTGGGTGGTGCGAATGGTTAAGCGCTTGACTACTAGCCCAAAGGTTGGTGGTTCGAACCCACCCAGAGGCGCCTTGGAAGACAGGCCTGGCAATCACTTCCTAAAGGTCACAGCCTTAAAAACCCAGTGGAGCAGTTCTACTCTGCACACATGGGACCACCAGGAGTAGGAACTGACTCAAAGGTAAACAGCAACAATCTCAGGTCAAATCAGAAAAAAAAAAAAAAACCTCATAGAAAGAATAAAGTGGATGTGCTACCTTTGATAATGTGGAAATGCTCCGATGTGGGGTTCCGCTGACAGCTTTGGAACCGTGCTTGTAGCTCTCACCATCACCATTCCCTTTGCGTCTTCTGAAGTTGTTTCCTTTTTTTTTTTTTTAATTATTAGAGCATAGTGATTATCATTTTTATACTTACTTTTCTCTTGGGATTATTTCCTTGGTATTTAACTTCTGACCGAAGTTTTGATGAGAAATTAAAGCACTTAGATGCTGGGTTTTTGGTTTTGTTTGTTTTTTCATATGGATGTTGTTTTGATAAAAACAAAATTCTACTTGTAAGGAATGATAGAATTCTTAAATTCTCCTGTGTAGTTTTTCTTCTGGTTGGGGCTACAACTTTCTTTCTGTAAAAATATTTTTCCAATATTTAAGAGCAAGTCAGTTGGAATGTATTGTATAGCTTTCTCAATGTATTAATATATACGTATGTATATATTTTATACATTTTTTTCATGCTGAACTTTTCAGAAACGTGACTGATGCGTAAAGTGAGTCTAATCTATATGAAGAATTTCCAGTTATCTACAGGTAGATGATCTGCTTTGGAGCAGACTAAGACAAATACCGCTTTATATCTCCTAGCAATACCATCAGCTCCTCTAACTCATGATTTATATAGCTATTAACAGCCTTACTGAATTATAATTTATCTACCATAAAAGTCACCCACTTTAAGTGTACAATTCATTTATTTTCAGTAAACCACAGACTGTGCAACCATCACCACGATCCAATTATGGAAAATTTCCATCACCCCAAAAAGATCTCTTGTGTCCATTTGCTAGTATTTTTAATTTGAATGTATTTTTAAGTTAAACTTTTATGCAAGATTTTAAAAATTGTATTTCCATCCCAGAAGACATTTAGCTCTGGGTGTGTAGTTGAAGTTGGGGCAATATTTCTGGTAGTACACTGCATCTTTCTAAAGGAAGGATGTGGGGCAAGTCTGACCGGCTTTAAAATACTCTGCTTGTGGTTTCAGATATTAGTGTTAACAATTCATGCCCATATTCAAATGTAAACATCCAAATGGTTACTAAAAGCAAACACATTTTTTTTTTCCTTCATCCCTTAATCAGTAAAGGCAGCTTAGGAGTTGCTTGCATGAATTGATAAGAAATTTCGAATGACAATTTCTACAACTTGTGCTTTTTCCCTGTGATACAGGTTACCCGGACCCTGAGGTCGTCTGGTTCAAAGACGACCAGTCCATCCGGGAGTCCCGCCACTTCCAGATAGACTACGATGAGGATGGGAACTGCTCTTTAATTATTAGTGATGTTTGTGGGGATGACGACGCCAAGTACACCTGCAAGGCTGTCAACAGTCTTGGAGAAGCCACCTGCACAGCAGAGCTCATTGTGGAGACCATGGAGGAAGGAGAAGGGGAAGGAGAGGAGGAAGAGGAGGAGTGAGACAAAGCCAGAGAGAAGCCGTATCTAAGCCGTATTAAAAAGACTATTTCTCTAAAGCTCAAAAACCCAAGATAGTAAAAGCACCTAGTGTGATAGAGTATCTAGTTAGGTCATTTGGGGGTCGATTCTTCACTGAGAGCAGTTGATACCTAGCAGCGTTATCGATGGGCATTAACCTGAACTAGCCGGCACCTTAAGATACGAGTGCAGTTAGATTTCACTTAGGGACATCACCCAGTAATATGCCTGACCAATTGACTTTAGAATGAAAGTAACCAAGATATATATATGTGTGTGGGCAAAATCATACGTTCTCCAACTAAAAGCACTCTGAGAAATAAGGCCAAAACCTGGGTCCCACAACCGCAGCCCCGCCCCGAGGACCCCTGGAAATGGAAAGCCTCACTGTCCCAGCCCCTGACTCCAAATAACTGGTTCGTCTCCAGTACTGCAACACTTCATTCGGAGAGCAGTTGAGCCCTTCTACCTTAGGAGGCACTTTTATTCCCAAGTAGCAGAGGTTTGAACTTTTCATTCTCCCCACCCTCATTCCCCCTGCCAGTTTTCCTGGATCTGAACTTGCCATGAGTTTAAGCACTAAGGACATTACACTTCTTAGATTCTGAAGACAGGCCCCCTGCTTATGGTTGCCTCTGGCTTCTTTAGGAAAACAGAATCTCCTTCCTTAAAAAATCAGTAAGAAATCGAAATGTAGCCCCTCTTTGAAAGTGTCTAGCAGCTTCAGACATTTGTGTAAGAACTCATGAAAAAAAAAAAATCCTTCCTAATGTGCTTTGCTTCTTAAATCAGGATTCATATGTGTGTGCTGTTATAAGAATATCAGCTCTGCATGTGTGATAAAGATTTTTGTGTTTGAATGTATGAAAAACCAGTTTGCTGCAAAGTTAGTCTTAATTATTTATTGGCCGCTATGACACAGATTTCCGCTGATGAAGAGCTGTAGACCTCCACGTACTTTGGAATCTCCTTCAGGACAGTCCGAGTTTAGTACATCTTCATCCTAGACACTCTCCAAAGGACTCCATCCTCCTTATGGGTTCCACGATACTCGTCTTGAACGTGCATCAACCATGCCTTGCCCCCAGCCTTGAAATATATTCTTAGACCTGATAAATGCACTCAGACTTGCATCTTTAAGAATCTTTAACTTTCTTTCACGACATTGGCACTTAAATTTTTCTGTATAAAACTTTTTGAAGGTCATAAACAAGGCCGTAAACTGATATACCTAATGCATTTCCTCTGCGTGTGTGTGTGTGTAACATTCCAAGTATTTTTTTTTTCTTTTCCACTGTTTATAAAGTGCAGCAACTTAATATTTCAAGGGACTTTTAAATAATTCCTTAAGAACCAATTTTCAATTACTTCAGTGCAATCCTACACAGTATCAACATTAGAATTTTGATATTATTTAGTTTTATGTTAGCTTCTGTTTTCATTTGCTTTTTGCTGCTAGTTTCAAATCGCCAGTATTTTTCTTTTTTTTTTTTTGCTTTTAAAGTTTCAATATTTTTCATAATAGCCACAGTATTGCCACAGTTTATTATAAGAAAGAGTTTGTTTTTTTTTTAACTTGATTTAAAGCATTCAAAGCTCTTTTTCCTCACTTTTAATTGTGTTTAGGCTATAATCTTTGTGTGCGTGTTACCTGTTACGTGTGTGCATGTATGAAGCGTATGTGTGTTTACAAGTTTTTAGTACCTTCTTGAAATAGTGTTAACTTTCTCCCAGTTTATTATGCCATCCGAATGGTAAATGAGAACACTACAGCTGTAGTTAACGCACAGTTTTTAAATAAAGGATACCACAGTGCATGCTGTTTGTTCAATCTTTGCAGGCTTCTCTTTCTTTCCATGCCACCAGTTTCCAGACAGATCTCGAAAGCTAAAAACAAACGTGCTGTGTAGACGTGAAGACTTGGCTTAGGTGGTTGTGGTTTACTACGGAGCAGAATGACTTGTGCACTTCTGTTTATTCTAGGGAGCCTGATATATACATTTCGTTCAAAATTCTTACGAGCATCAGTTAGGCACACCTGTATTCTAGAAGGGTATCTGTAGTATCAGGTCCTCGTAATGCTAAAATCTCTATAACGCATTTTTAACATGTGAGGTGTGATGATCATCATCATCAATATTATCTACCAGGACTTGGTTTGAATTGGTGACTTTGGTGCAATGAGCTATTGACAGCCCATGCCATGTCTTGTTAGGAAAGCATTTGTTGCCAGACAACCATCACTCCTGCTTTACAGGAAACCTGTTATCAGATGTAAGATAGTGAGTCCCCCATTTCTTGAGATGGTCAAACAGTATTGAAGATATTCTAGAAAGAATTCAAGACAAGGTGTTGAATGTTGGACTAGATGATTGTATGATTCCAAGGCGACTTCTGTAAAGAAACAAGCCATTGTCTGTCCACTTAATAAATATTTAAAATTTTTCCAGTTTTAAAAGCAACCACAATCCACAAATGTTCATAGCAGGGAATTGATTATTTTTAAAGCAAAGAACTATTTTTATTCCTCGCTAGTGAAAAATGCACCATATATTTCGTGAACCGGAAAAATAAGAAGATTTTTATAAAAAGGGTGGCGTGGTGGGGGCATCTGACCTCCTCTAACTCTAGGAGAGGGAGGAAAGAGAAGATCAATAGCCCAAGGCTGATTCCGATGAAGTAGAGGTCAGACATACCTCCTCTCTCTAACCTTTTTACCAATCTGACACCAGCCATCCCTCCCACAGCAGTCTCTACTTCTCTGCTGGGTTCGATAATTCATTGCAGTGGCCACACAGAACTTGCAGACAATACTCATGATTATGGGTTTATTGGGGAAGTAACAAACTGCAATTCAGGATCAGGAATGACTCAGGATACACTGCTTCAATCAGGACAGCCTCCTCTCAGCTGTGCCTGCAGACAGGCCTCTCCCTGGCCCTCGACCTCTCAGTCCTTGGCCCCTCGGCCCCTTGGTCCGGCCTCTGACCTGCTCTGGCAAGTGTTACAAAGCTCTTTAGCTCCACTGACAAGTGCCCAGAGGCACCCTACTCCAATGGCAAGTCTCCTGCCTGAAGGCACTCAGCTTTCTCACTCTGTAGGCCGGGAAGCTTACCGCACCGTCTCCTACCAGTCTACTAGTTCTGCTGCCTCTGCTGCCACTGTGTCTCTGCCACTGCTTCTTGCTGTCTCTGATGTTACAGCTCCCTCTCTCTGTCTATCCTGGGTCTAGGAGGTACTCAGCACGGGGACCCCAGGTCTAAAGGATGTGCTCTGTTCCCATCTCTTCTTGGTGGTAGTCAGGTCCCCCCCTTTCCGCCTCTGGGATGGCTCATTTTATGTCTAGCGGGATGGCAAAGTGGACCAATCCCTTCGTTAGGATTCCATAAACCTTATTTTGCATGGTCCTGCCGCCACAAGGGTGCCATGCACCTTATTTACATTATTAGCAAGCTGTCTAATCCCCTTGGTGGGCCACAAGCACCTTAATTGCATAGCCCACCCAGTCTATTGTTGGGAGCTGCAAGACCATGCCTAGAAAGGCCATATCAAAGCGATCTATCACACAGCAGTTTTCTTCCATTTCCATTCCAAACATACAAAAAACAACCTATTGATTGTTCCTTACATTGTAGATATTTATATTGAAAGATACTTCTATGTGTAACTAGAAAGACATGCTGATTGTCAGCTCTAACTTTATTTATATAAAGACTGTCTTTTCATGTTTATCAAAATGTTTGAGCTTTATGCTTTGCTTCACATCTCACCTGCTTTTAATAAAGCTATGCTAATGAATATGAAAGAGGTGATGAATAATTGAATTCTAAAGAAACTCAATTTTTCACTTTTCAAGAAAACACTACTTTACCTCATGGGGACGCCTCTGAATTTTGTAAAGGAGGCTAATGTCTATGATAATCATTACTGGTGCTCTCTGCCCTCTGGCACAAGGTTAGGGTTGCATTCTGGGGTTAGGTGGGGCCATGTGACTAGTTCTGGCCAGTGTGATGTCGCTGTCACTAACTGCACTACAGAAGGGACAAAGTGGAAAAACCCCACCTTTATCACTAACTTCGTGGCGAGGATCAGCATGAATCCAATTCCCACATGGAAATGGATTCAGGCTTCACCTTCCCATATCTCCAAGATCCTTGATGCCAGCCACTTCTTCTGTGGCACTTCCTCTCTCACCCTAACCACTCAGAGTGTCTTAGTCATCTAGTGCTGCTGTAACAGAAATACCACAAGCGGACAGCTTTAACAAACAGAAGTTTATTTTCTCACAGTCTAGTAGGCTGGAAGTCCAAAGTCAGGACATCAGCTCCAAGGGAAGGCTTTCTCTCTCTGTTGGCTCTGCAGGAAGGTCCTTGTCATCAATCTTCCCCTGGTTGAGGAGCTTCTCTGCTCAGGAGCCCCGGGTCCAAAGGAAGCACTCTGCTCCCGGCACTGCTTTCTTGGCTGTGTGAGGTCCCTCACCCTCTGCTTGCTTCCCTTTCCTTTTGTCTCTTGTAAGATAAAAGATGATGCAGGCCACACTCCAGAGAAACTCCCTTTACATTGGATCAGGGATATGACCTTAGTAAGGGTGTTACAATCCCACCCTAATCCTCTTTAACATAAAATTACAATCACAAAATGGAGGACAACCACACAGTACTGGGAATCATGGCCTAACCAAGTTGACACATATTTTGGGGGGACACAATTCAATCCATGACACAGGGTTAGGTTGAAACATCCCTGTCCACCCAGACCCAGGTCATTGGAGACTAGCTGTAGGCTCAGGAGTCTGCACAACTCCCTGTACTTTAAACCAGCCAGCCCCTCTCTCTTCCTCTAAGCCCCTAGGGCTAGGTCACAAGCTAGGAGGGCTCTGTCCTTCTTCATTGACTGCCTGTCACCCAGCCACCCAGAGCTGAGTCTCCACAGATCGACTGCCTGCATAACCCTCTTCTGTCCACCAGCCACCCAAAGCTGGTTCTCTATGTGTTAGCACTCTGTCCTTACGACTATCTGTGCACAATCCTCTCCTGAATTAGCCACCCCAAGATAAGGCAGAGTCTCTTTGCCCCTTGTGGGTTTGTTAATTCTCTATAACGTCTCACAAAATTCACAGAGACTATTACCTATATTTAGTCACCCATTTATTATAACCAGAAAGGCTACAAGAGAAGAGAACCATCAGGGAAGTTCTGGGAAAGTTCCTGGCACAGGGCCTCCATTGTCCCCAGAGGCATGCCACCCTCTCCCACTTAGGATGGTCCCACTGATCCAGAAGGCCCCAAAGAGAAAGATCCAAGATCCAGGGTCCCTTAGTCATTGGAGCCTCAGTGAATATGCATGAATTGGGCCTCAATGCATAGTTATGATGGATCCAATCAACGAATATGCATGACTGCATCACGCCCCCCCCCTTCCTTCCTGAAGTTAGTTTGACAGGCATAGGGCCTGTAGCCCCTACTTGCTGGCTATTTTAGAATGATATAGAGCACTTTAATTGCTCGGGCTATTTTCATAAACTGAATACCGAAGGCCAAACCTAGTTCTTTTTCCCACAGCCAGTGAATTATGTCCCCCAAAAATGTGTGTATCAATTTGGCTGAGCCATGATTCCCAGTACCCTGTGGTTGTCTTTCATTTTGTGATTGTAACTTTATGTTAAAGAGGATTAGGGTGGGATTGTAACACCCTTACTAAGGTCACAACCCAGATCCAATGTAAAGGGAGTTTCCCTGGGGTGTGGCCTGCAGCACCTTTTATCTTACAAGAGATAAAAGGAACGGGAAGCAAGGAGAGAGTTGGGGACCACATACCCTCAAGGAAGCAGTGCTGGAAGCAGAGTGTGTCCTTTGGACCTGGGGTCACTGTGTGGAGAAGCTCCTAGTCCGGGAGGAGATTGATGAGAAGACCGACAGAGAAAGTCTTCCCCTGGAGCTGATGCCCTGAATTTGGACTTTTAGCCTACTTTCTGTGAAGAAATAAATTTCTCTTTGTTAAAGCCATCCACTTGTGGTCTTTCTGTTACAGCAGCACTAGATAACTAAGACAGAATTAGGTACTGGGAGTCGGGTGCTGCTCTAACAGATAGCTAA